GAAAAACTCTGTCTTAGCAAGTGACTTATTGCTTTGTTCATCCAGCACTGCATACATCTTAATTGCCTTCTCATTTTTCCCTGCAGGATATGTTTTCACCAAGCAGATTTTGGAACATGAGCGTGAACTGTCTGCATTTCCACATATCTCTGTACACTTGGAGGTGACGGATGGAGATGCGCTGTCATTTTGCTCCCCGCTGTCATCTTTGTCAGCCTGGATGCAGGGCCGCAATGTGTTTGTCACTTTTGCACTCAAAACACTTGAGGGTCATCTTGCAGTCTTTCGCCATGTGTTGAGTAGACCCACAACATCTATAGCAGATGTGATTCTCTCTGAGGTATGCTTTGCGCTCTTCTAGGGAAGAGTCTACATTTTGACAGTGGGTGGGGCTTCTTATGTATTGGGCAATGACGGTCTGGTTCATCCAATGTCTTTGAAGCAGAACTGGATTGGACACCTGACAGTTCTGCAGGTATGTCTGTTTTGTGCACAGTCAGAGGATTTATTACTGTACTTCTCAGGCTTTTCACTCCTCCACGATGCTTGACTGCTGGACGTGAATATAGTGAAGCTTGGATCATTTTTTATCTTTGCTTGTTGTTGAACAAACTTGGAGAAGACAGAGAAGGGAGGAAAAGACACTCTGTAATCCTCCTTGTACTCACTTCCAACACTTATCCATTTTTTTTGGAGGTTATACGGAAGCTTTTCCACTATTTGTCGTACCCCCCGAGCTGTATCCAAATATGAGAGCCCCGGAAGAGCACCATCTTCCTTTGCACACTCAAGTTCAAGGAGAATGTCGCTGAGCTCTCTCAGCTTAATATTATCCTTGTTGGTTAGCTTTGGAAAGTGTTCAATCTTTTTGAGCAGTGCATCTTCGATGACCTCTGGTGTCCCATAACACTCTTCGAGACGTTGCCAAACCATGTTGACTCCTGCTGCAGGATTGAGGATGTGCACTGCACGAATTCTTTTAGCCTGTTCTGACGATTCCGTTCCAAGCCACTTCGTCATCAGGTCCAGTTCTTCTCTCGCTGAGAGATTCAAGTCCTTCGTAGCACTTAGAAAAGAGGCTTTCCACGCCCAATAGTTTTCCGGTTTGTCGTCGAATTGCAGAAGACCAGCACTTACCATTTCTCTCCGGATGAGATATCTGGCAAAGTCTTGTGAACCTTGAGGGTTAGGTGAGTATTCTTTTTCAAGATTGGGTGTGTTCTTCGGTGTACTATGAGGGAAAGTCTTACTTGGACACGTATACACTGTTTGCTCTGTTGTTATGTCTTTGTAAACTGACTGTGTGTTGCTTTGGATGTCGTGATGAGTTGCTGGTTTAGTGTCAAGTATTTCCAATTTTCTCTCATGGGACTCCACTGCTACATGTTTTGATGGCAGTTCCGAGAACACCAACTCGGACTGTTGTTGGACGTACTCACTAGTGCGTTGGACTGTATTAAAAGGCTCATCTTCAACAAAAGGTCCTTGACTAAGCTCCCCGCTTTCAACTTCCACTTCATCATAGGCAGCTGCTTCAGCTTCAGCTGCTGCCGCAGCTCTTTGGCTCTGGAGAAGATGGAGACTAGCATCGCAGTCAGCCTTTTGCTTCAGCATGCTCGCTTCCAGGTCTGCCCTCTGCTTCATCATGTCAGCTTCTTTTTCAGCATAAGCTAGTTGAGCAAGAGCAGCTTTTGCTTTAGCATAGGCTTTCGTAGCTGATGAGGCTGTTGATCGCTGCGAGTGTCTAGTGGATGCCCTAGATGACTGTGATTTAACCTCTAATGCTCGAAGAGACTCCTGCCTCTTAGTTTCCGGATCTACAGCCTCTGCTCGTGGTTCTTCACTAGCTTCATTTTGTTGCCTAGCAGTATCTTCTTTAATGTATTTTCTTCCTGAGCGTAGACTCATGTTTGCTGAGTAATGTTTTCTAGTGCTTGAGCCCGCCGTGCTCTTGTCTTTTTACTGTACTGCCCTTGCAGCGCGTATTCTTGTGCAAAGCTAGACAGCCAGTTAACATTCAAAAGTCCTCCAATAAACACACAAGGCTTGACTTTTCTTGTATTTTACTGAAGTGTTGTTTCCACTCCTGGATTTGCTTTTGATTTTTTGTAAAACTGAAACATTACAGAGAAAAAAGAACAATCATACATAGGGCAGTGCACCATAAGAACTAATAAATCGTTTAACTCTGCAAAACTAAAAAAGGTAATGTTTTTAGATGTTTTAGACCTTATTTTATATGAACTATTTTGTATAACTTAATAACTTAATTTATTTTGTATCACTAGCTACTTTAATAACCTGTGTTAACTCATTAAGATTTTCAACACTATCTATAAAGGCCAGAACTACAAAGAAAATTTTTGTTACGTATCCCCACATTGTGTGCTGTTCCAGAAACAGACATCTACATATAATTAATCATTTGTTTTGCAGCATTGGCTCTAAAGTGCCAAACGCTGGTGTCGCCACGGTCTAGTGTCATCAATGCACCAACACAGTTGTCAGACACCTGCCCAGGACTAGAAGAGGACCGTCTGTGGCATCTCGTCAACTGGTGGCATATAGGAATGACCTGTAAGTGACATAGTTTCTTCTATTGCGACTGGGTAGAAGGCCAAGGCGATAATCGCCAGAACTACTCAATCAATTCAACAGACCAGCAACACACACAAAAAAACTCATCCCAGCACACAGCAGCCAACATCATGATGATTTTAGTCAGACCTGATCTTCTTCAAATTGCTAAACGATGGGAAAGATGGGCACTCTTTATCAGTGTTGTTACCACCTGCAAAACACACGAAACACAACACATGCTGAATAATACTATTTCCACCTTATAGCCCCACCAACTTAAAGAAGGCTACTAAAAAGTTTGTATAAACTTTGTACAATTACCCCCAACCTGGTAGGGAATGAGATTAGGGGTGCTCATTATTCAA